AAGGTGTGAAAACTGGTTGGTCAAAGGACACAAAGCCACAAATTGTTCACGATGAAGATGATCAAATCGTTACAACTGAGAAAAAACATAGGTTGGCTATTAGAATTTAAAGATAGAAGTGGATGGAAAACACTGCCTTTTCTTCAACATTCTCATGCAGAAAAAAAATACATAAGAATATTTTAGGAATGCACAAAGCTAGTGTAAATCTGCAAATTGTTGTAGCAGAGCACTTCCTACAATTGTAGAAAAAGAAATATATTCGAAAGAGCTCTGGAAGAACAGAAAACATATTTATGGGTTTACAAAGAAGAACAGAAGAGATGACATCAGACAAGAACTAGCACAAATATACAGCATTTTCACTTTCTGCTTCCAAAAGTCTTCATCAAGTTAGGATCTTACTGGGTTGTTCACCAGGAAAATACTGGGTACAGAGAAGGTTCCCTCTCTTATCTATAGAACATAAATGCAAACCAGTGAAATATGGTACTCGTGGACAAGATATCCTAAGAGTGTATAGGCTAAACGCTGCATGACTCAAAGGCTTTCTAATGTTCAACACAATTTGGAATTAAAAAACCAACCAGCCATTATCCTCAAATGAAACAATGTAAAAACCAGCAAAACCACTATTGTGGGTGGTGGAGGGGGAGTCTGTCACAGCAAAACTAGGTTTCAGATGTCAGTGAATTTGTTGTTTTTCTAGGAGAAAAGAAATTTCAGGAGGAAACCTGGATATGAACACCATGCTAGAGGGAGGGCAGCACCAACTGAGGTGATGCCAGGAAGGAAAAGCAAAGAATGCTTGTGTAAAGAAAAGAAGTGGACACAAAAGACAAGTCAGTCATGGAAAACTGTTAATGAAAAATAGCTCCAAATCACAGTGGTTCAGTCAAAATTTATGGAACGTAGATATAATTTGCTGTATTATCAACAAAAACAAAGCAGCAAAGCTAGAAAAAAAACAACCACCACTGAAGGAGAATCAGAGGCCTGTAACATGGCAGTGTTTTATAAAACCCATAAAATTACTAGAGAGGCTTATAGTTGCTGGTGAATTTAGACAGCACTGAGGAGGGGATACAATGTATCTTTTACTGCCACCCACTTTTAATCGGAGATTATTAGAGCTGCTGTAATTAGTCTAAGACCATAAAATTTCAGAGTGTGATCTGAAATGCTGTGATTCTACATACACAGAATAATCAGTGACTTCCACAAAATCTTTCAGACTTGGGTGAAGCTAGGGAGGCCAGTTTACCTTTGATTATTGATTGATAAATGCTCAGCAGTGTGCTTCATACTAGAGGTCAGCAAAACACGTACCAGTAAAGGCACAGCATGTGTTTTTTGTGTACTTGGAAGCTGGCCAAAGGAAATTTGATTTCCTCCAGAACCTGGCCTTGCACTACGCTTTACTGAGCAAGACTTTTGTGCCCAATTACATATTTCAAACCTTCCTAGGATTCACCCGTGCTACTCCTCACATTAATAAGAACCTGCCTTGAGAAAAGCAGAAAGCCTTCCAGAGTTTCCTGGCATTTCAGGTCTGCACAGCCAAAGACACGCCCTTGCCTGAGAGGGGTGTGAGAAAGAACCACGCCTCCAGCTTCCCTCTGTCTTTAAGACAATGATCCAAAACCAAACTCAAGTGGGAGTTAGGTCCCTGAGCATCTTTATGTACCTGAACGTGGCCCACTGAATCCACAGGTGAGTTGAGAGAGGGAGCACCCTGGAACAGCCCAGGAAATAAAACTCCGCCTGGTGGTCAGTGCTCCCGTGTTGCGTGCTGAAGTAAAAAGCCTGGCAGATCAAACTGTAAGACGGATGTGGGAACATCAGGAAAATCAAGTGAACCGATCGGCAAAAAAGGTGCGAGTAAAACCCTTTCTCCTCTCCAGCGCTGAGCTTGTGCACACTCCCTTAGCTCTGCTTTGTACTCCTTCTAAACCATGACTGTGAAGCAGATGGTTTCTTTTCCTTTTCCTAAGCCTGCAAGCCTACTCCTACTGCACACAAGATCACAAAATGGGGGCAGGGGGGACGGGAAGGGCAATTGACAGCAACAACTGGCAACAAATGGCATGAACTGGCAGGGGGCTTGGATTAGATGATCCACAGAGGTCCCTTCCAACCCCTACCATTCTGTGATTCTGTGACAAAAGTTCTTGATTTAGCTGGTGTGATGGGGATTTGCAGGAACAAATTTGAGTTGAACTCTAATCCTCCAAAAGTTCTAGCCAAAGTTAAAGTCCACTTTTTGATAATAACTCCTTCCTTGAGCAAAATACAAGCCCACTACATTTCTTTTTCCTTTTTTTTTTAAGTAATACCATCACAGTAAATTAACTTGAAATCTAAAATGCTTGAAATCAGAAATTTCCATATCCTTGTGAAAGTCTATTTAGGTAGCTACAAGGAAATTGCCATTACAAATCACTGTTTTTCTCAAGAAGCTTGCTAGAGACCAATAGCTTAAGGCTTATAAATTTGCTGTCTGTTCTGCATGGGCACTGCCCTAGCGTCAGTTAACACACTTCCCACAGCACCAAATCTGCAATCAGATCAAGGCAACTATTTCTTTAATTTGTTTCCATCTGCAGGTCTACAGGCAAAAATAAGGACTCCATCAATGAGCGCAGGGAGGTTGGCATTCACAGATCCATCCTTCCAATTCTTGCGGAGCAAACCCATTCTACCTGCCTATGTTTACACAAGATGTAATTAAAACATACTTTTTAGTATGGCTGAACATGGCCTTCATCGGTCCTGTCACACTGACTAAGATTATACTGATGGGAGAAACGGTCTTATCTAACTCCCAAAGGTGACGTCAACAGATGACTAAATGCCTATGTAATTCTTTGAAGACAAACTGCAGTAGTAAAGAGACTGCAAATATTTCAGATCAGTAATCCAAATTTAACAGTATTGCAGGTGGTTTTTTCTAATCTTCATGTGCTTTATTTCTGTCTAATTATCTCCGTTACCCTACAAGGGTGCTGTAAAATAATAAAATAATATCTTCAAACTAAAATATGATAGTCATAGGTACCTTAGAAAGACATTAAATGTTAACACTTCCATATTCAGTTTGGAAGATATAAATAGAGCATTGGGAAGATGCATTAGAAGAAGAAAATAAAGGAACGTTAAATAGTTACATGATTTCTTGAACACCAACTTTACCAGGCACCAAGTGCCATGAAGGAAGTAAAGCATGTTGCTGCATAATTAAGCAAGAGATGTGCGCAGCACAGCCAAATAAAAGTTGCTTGGGTAGTCGTAACTTTGGCATTTAACAGTTTATGGAATAGGGCTACAAATGAACAATGCGCGTTTAATCTGTTTTAAACAGAACTCTAATTTCATAAGGGGCACAGATAGAAACATTTGAGTGTTAAAATCTGATTTATCACCCATCAAGGAAAGTATAATAATTTATGCTGAAATTTTCAGTGGCTGTTGGCAGAGATATATTCTTCAGGTGAAGCAAAATAAGCCATAGGGCTAAGAGATTCAGAGTTTCAATCTCAGAGATTAAAGAATCAGAATTGCTTGTTTCCAAAGTTATTTAGTCTTCCTACTAAACCTATCCTTCATCATTCATGAAACAAAATTTTGAAGACAGACCAAAGCCTAAAAATGAGCCCTTTTGGGTGGGGAGGAGAACAGGAGGGGAATGCAAGGCTCTTCACCAGAAGCACAACATGGAAATCTCTTCTATTTCTTTATAGTTTCTGTGTAGTATATTGTTTTTCCTGATTAATAATGATGAGGCCCATGGACAATGCTGAAGCAAGTTCCTTTTTTACCAAGTAATGCTGAGAACTGCTGTAAAATCCAGGAAAATCAGAGTAGAGAGGGACAGCTATGCTGAGTAGCTCACTAATCAAGCCTACAGCTTTAACCACAGCCACTTCTGCTTTTTCTACAAGCAAGTCACAAAAAAAAACGCAGCAACTGTAAGGCATTAGAGGAAAGAAAAAGAGAAAACCAGCTAAGATAAGAAAATCTATGTAATAAGGCCTGTTTCCACATATCATTGAGAGTCTGGCAAAAAAATACAGACTGTACAGACAAGATGGTTTAAGTTAACAGCTGTGTTCTGGTGATGGGATTTAAGGAAACTCAGCACCACTAACCAATAGGGGCATTAATTAATACTCTGTCACAAAACATCGCTAACTTGGAAAAGATATAAGAAGAAAATACAACAATGAACTGAATCCCATCACTCTATTTAGGTTGGGTTCTGATAGCACGGACACCAATATGAGCAGACAAAAGTACACTCAGGGATACAATTGCAAGTAGTCACATCTTTCTTCCTTTTTCATGCAAGGGTTTGTGTGCAGTCATGTATAAAAAAATCTTGCCATCCATCTCTGCAGACCCTAGCTTCTACCCAAACTTAAGGCAAGCTGGGGCAATGGCTTGTGCTACAGGAGCTGACCGAAACCATGGATGACACTCGTTTTGACTCCAGGCAGAAGCAAAAAGTCACATAAAGAGACTACCAAGAAGTTTTAAAGATTAACAAAAAGTGGATGTGAACAGAACTACTCAATTTGAACCGACTACATCTTAATCTTTGCGCTGCCTCTCTGTAACACTGTGACTCCAACAGTATGTAACTTGTGCTTACCTGCATACATATAAAATGAGTACAAAATGATATATGTACTTGAGGGAATTTTAACTTCAAGCAGTCCTCTAACTGCTTGACATAAGAAATTGCAACAGCATAAAAGGTAACAGCATGAGTAAGCTTCAAAGAGTTTTCATGCTGAAGACAAAAAAGCCAAAAATCACTTCTTTGTCCCTTGCTGATCCACTCACTCTGGTTTGCTCAACATCCAGCTACTCAGATGGTCAGTGCGTGAGGAGGGGTCTTTCACAGGCTTCAGGGACAGTGAACAGTGCAGAAGATGGGTGGAAGGCTGACAGAGCTGCACACGCTTCAGCAGTCTCTATTTCCTCCATTTTTATGAAACACACTTCCAATGGTAGTCATCCTCACCATCAAGGTAAGCGTATAATCTCTCCTATTGACAGCTAGTATACACCCATCCCTTCACCCGTGGGACGCATTAAATAGGCAGCAAGAAAGCTCCGAGGTCAGAAGCAGGATTTTCTCGCTCCCAAGCACAGCCCACCAGGGAGGGGCACTGCCTCCTTCTCTGGCAGCTGATAAAATTTATTTACCAGTAAGGCTCAGACAGAAATTATCATGATAAGGAGCTCATAAAATAGAAGATAAAAAGATTAGGAACTCTATCCATGAGACTTTTTTTTTTAAGAGAAAAGGCAAAACAAAATATGCTGCAATAAAGAAAAGTAATAGGCAGCAGAAAGTTCATCAGGAAATGGAAGGAAACAGGGTGGAAAAGGAAAAAACAGAAAAAGACTCAGCACAAAAGAAACAGATGCATATTCATATAATCATAAATATACCACATGGATCAACCTTTCCAACTATCAATATAGTGTTGGTACATATATACTAGGAAATTTTAAGGTGGAGATTGTATGCTTTCCTGGCCAATACATGAATTTTACATCCTTACGGTCTAACCTGTCTTTACTAAATAATATTATAAAATTGCACTAGTGAAAAAACAAATAGAGAATCACATCAGTTAAAGAGAAAAAAAACTCACTTCATGGAAAAGAACTTGGTATAGCCTACAAGTCATGCAGAAGTAAAATACATTATCTAACAGTACTTATCCAAAATCTGCAATACTTCTATCTAGTATTTGGTTTGGTTTGGAGAAATTCTACATTTCAGAATATTTATAATATAGAACATGCATTCTGCATTTTGGAACAATTCAGAAGAAGAAGAGAGATGGACAGATAGATGGAAATCCAGAAAGGCAGGGAGAAGGGGAGAGGAAGGGAAAAGGACATAGTAAGCAAAAAAAAGGAAGATTTGTAAAGAAGACAACAGTGAAAAGAGGAAAGAAAAGCACTAGCTCAGAAGAGAATCAAAATCCACAGAGCTCTAAGATAAAAAAAAAAAGCACAGAACAGAAATTACTTAAAACTTTCCAAAATTGTTGTAGTCATACACACCTCCTTACTGAAACTGAAAATAAGAGAAAGATGGGCAGAGAGAGGAGAGTGAGAGAGAGAGACACTCTTGTGCTGTAAGACACATTTCTCAGACTTCATAAAGGCAAAGCTTCTATAAAAAGCAATAATTATCTTGTCTGTACAAGGTCTTAGTATCTGTTCCAGTACAGAAGTGGGCATGAGAGCTGGAACAGAAATATACATTAAAATAGATTAATCAATTATTTTTCTAAATTCTAGAAAAAATAGAGCAAGAAGAGATGATCATGCCATCTGTTGATGAAATGTGTTAAAAATTACAGCCGTGCTTTAACAGTTAAAATGGGGACCTAACCAAAGTAAAGCAAAAACCTCAAATGCCTTAATTTCTATAGGCTAATTCCAACATTTTTGAGGAAACTGAAGGTTTATTTAGATTTGCATAATAAGAAGATAAATCTTTTGTATTAAAAATGCTTAAAATAGACCTCCAGATCACAGAAATATGTTGCTTAAATATCCCATTATCATTAAATTAAACAAAATAGAAATGTTCTCTGCTAAACGGAAAATTAAAAATCAACTCTTTCTAGAGTAAGAACAGGTTTGCTTAATTATAATTTTCCGCTGAATTTATGAAATGTGTATAAGCTCATTGAATGACAATATGTGGCAGTATTATAGGAAAAGAGTACCAATGTAGCAACCCACGTGGCCTTTCCAGACCTCTTTAGTTTGGAACATTTTTGAAAACTGCCACTGTTGCAGCCCCTACACTGGCAGAAATTCTCTTAAAATCATTGGAACTCTTGCTGGTATAGGGACTGTAAGATCTCCAGCCCAAATTCAGCAAGCTTTTTCAGCATGTATTTTAAGAAGGACTTTGATAATTAGACAGTTGCTTATTTGCTTTCCTGAATCAATGCCTACATGACCAGATTTTTCAAAGAAATTGTGTTTCTTTTGGTTTTTTTTTTGTTTTTGAGGGTTTTTTTTGTTATTTATTTGAAGATAAGAAATTTATGTTTAGTATATAGCTTTTATAAAACAATTTTTGATAGAATTTTGCCATATTTATAAAATTACCAGAAGACAAACATTGGCCTAAATATCTTACCCCTGAGGTCCATCAGCACGTACGCCTTCCCCTTCAGAGGGAATGCATTTAGGCCAACATCCTGCATGAGCTGTGCTGGCAGTCATTAGGCTTCGAATGGCAGAACCCTCCTCGTTTTGACAAAACACATTCAGACATCCTCCAAAGGCATTAACACCGTGTCTGCGCGTACACACTCAAGCAATGCAATGTGCGTGTGCGATGAAGACATTCCCTTGGGGCAGTCACTTACTAGAATTACTGCTGTCATCCTTGGTTCCATCGAGACTTCCATCGGGATGCATTTGCAAGTAGTAGCCTTGCCTGCAATATAACCTGGTCACTATACCCTTGAGCTGGGGATCTGAAAGACAAACATATTTTGTCACTAGCCTCAAAACCTTTTCCAAGAGTTATCCCTACTTCTCTCACTGTAGGAGGAAGTTTGGTGAAGCAGCATTGCTGACTTAAAAGTAAGTACTACAACAGGATGGGTCCTAATGGAGATGGAGAAAAAACTCGTTGCAGAGTATTATTATGCCAGTGGTGTGTTGCCTCCAACATCCTTCATTATAATTAGCAGGAGTAAAACACAGAAAAAAAAGAATGCCCCAAACTCCTGTAGTCAAAAGACTTAAACTAGATAAAGCCCTGCAAAAATTTTAGATGTCAGCAACAAGTATAGAGCCTTACAAAAACTAACCAAACATTAAAAAATCCCTATTCTTTTCATAGATGTTAGTGACTTGCTATACTTCACATAAATTTGAAGGTCACTTGCACAAAAAGGTCTGTTTCCTTTCACTCTGTACCAAAAGTGAGGAACTTTTCTGGTGTAATATTTTGTAACAGTCTCATCTGAAGAGTTCCCAAAATATTTTACCAATCCAGAAGCGGACACAATTCATCTGCCCTCTCCCACGCCCCAGGGAATAACACCCACAGTCAAGGCAAGACTTCTCAGAGTAAAAAACCTGAAAAAAACCTTAGTAAGCTAAAAGTATATGGGAAATTCAGGTAGCTGAACAGTTAAGCTACCCTGTTCAATACTCTGCATTTATGAAAAATTCCAAGAATGGAGCAGAGGCTGCCAAGCCACAACTTGGATTCATCTCAAGGATGGTGCCTTACCAAATCACAAATTAAGCTGCTGCAGAAATGGTTCAGTGCTGTGAAAGAGGACATAATATCTCAAAAAAATCAACAGCATTACCTCTGTGTGAGAATGGTTTTAATATTGTTAAACATAAACTATTAGGCACAACTCCAGGCAGCCAGTAATTAAACTTGTGGGGACAAGGCATTAAAAGCATCTATATTGTGTCATGCTTAGCTCCACAATAATGAGCTAAAATCATGAAGACTTTGAGATAGATATGTCATAAAATGAACAAGTGAACTTCTAAAGAAGACAGAAATTATTTCCATGCAAACCTGTGGCCAGAATATAAAATCATCCTTGAATTTGTGTATAATTGCTCTCACAATCAATCATGCTGGGTTACTTAGAGTATCCTAAGGGGACGTGAAAACAAACACTACTAAACAAAACTGCTTCTCAGTGGAATGCTCTGAAGTTTTCTATAGAGGCTCACTTCCATGAAATAATTATGAAAATGGTAAGTTTTTCTTGAATATCCAAATTATAAAGTCATGTTAAACAACAAAGGTGTCTAAATTAACAATACAAGATTAAACTGTCAATATCTCAGAAACTGTTACCATAAATATTAACACTCTAAGACTTTTGAGGCATGAAAACAGATAATATAAATACTTGATGATCAATACGTAAGCATATTACCACTTTTTTTTTTTGCTTCTAACTGTAAATTTTGCTTTCTGTGAATTTTTTGCCTTAGCAAAAGTTTCTCTGTCCTATATAAGAATATTCAGAAATAAACATTTTTTTATATTTATGGACAATAAACTGTATTTTCTTTGAAGGTACTGTCTCAATCAACTTTATCAGGCAATTCAAAAATGTTTTCATAATTTAAAAAAAGAGTTCCTCTTACACATGCACTATTCCTATCAACACATGCTTTCAATGTCCATTTCCAATCTGATGTTTTTAAACATAATTGCTTTACACATATTAAAATGGCATCTTAAAAAAGCTAAAGAAAAAAACCAAAATTATTAAAACTATAGCTTTTAAAAGTGTTTACAGGAAAAATATCAGTATTTTGAAAAACAGTTTCTACACCCAAAGAATCATGAATGAATGCTTCTTTGTCATTACTTCTAGCTCAAAGAACTATCTCACAGGAAGGCAAAATACAGTCAACTCACTATCACCAGCTGTTCACACCTACTGCTTCAAGGGGAAAATGTGAAACTTAGAAGTGACTTTCAAAGTTGTTCTTTGTACTTATTCTATTAGTTTTTCTAAATTCACACACAAAATCTAGTTTCTAACAAGAAATTGCACAATCACTTGTCTATGTTTTCACCCAAAACACTATTAAAATTTACTCTTCTTTACCAGATATCCAAAATTATATCTGACTAAAAAAAGTTCGGTGGATAACTATGCATTTCAGCTAGCATTTCAGGCTATGTGAAATGAGACGGTGGTATGAACCCCCCATTTGTTTGTTTATAGACATCCAAACACAGCAGAGCAAGGACTATTACAGCATGAGTACAGAGGATCCTAGACATGCACTTTATCTCACTTGTATACAGTTTTAATGCTTTCGTTTGTCAGAGAGCTGAACAAACCTGTCCCAAAACATAGCTTTTTCACTTGAATATTTAATTAAGAACTGGAATGTACTACTAATACTGTAATACTAATTAATATTCTCATTGTGTAAAGTACATCTCTGTAGACTAATAAATGGCAAAAAAAGAAATCTGTTTTGTCCCATTGTTTTCCTGTGGATTATTAGAAAATTTTTTACTCACCCTCCTAAGAAATCTTTTCTACCTTAAAATCCTACTCATCCTTCGCAAGATTAAAACTTTTATTCCTGACGAGTAATTTAATCATGCATTTTTTGCTAGTTCTTGTTCATACTATTTGGTTAATATATATCACAGTACTCTGGATCTAGAAATAAAAGTCATAGACTCACAGAACCATAGAATCATAGATTCACAGGTTGGGAAAGACCTCTAAGATCATCAAGTCCAACCATCAACCCAGGATCACCATGCCTACTAAACCATGTCCTGAAGTGCCACATCTACACGTGTTTTGAATGTCTCTGGGGATGGAGACTCCACCACTTTCCTAGGCAGCCTGTTCCAATGCCTCATCACTCTCTCAGTAAACAAATTCTTCCTAATATCCAATCTAAACCTCCCCTGATGCAACTTGAGGCCATTTTCCTTTATCCTATTGCTTATTACTTGGGAGACTGACCCCCAACTCGCTACAACCTCCTTTCAGGTAATTGTAGAGAGCAATAAGGTGTCTCCTCAGCCTCCTCTTCTCCAGACTAAATAGCCCCAGTTCCCTCAGCCACTCCTCATAAGACTTGCTCTCTAGACCCCTCACCAGCCTCGTTGCCCTTCTCTGGACACGCTCCAGCAACTCAATGTCTTTCTTGTAGTGAGGGGCCCAAAACTGAACACACTACTCCAGGTGCAGCCTCACCAGTGCCGAGTATAGGAGCATGATCACCTCCCTACTCCTGCTGGCCACACTATTCCTGGTACAAGCCAGGATGCCGTTGGCCTTCTTGGCCACCTGGGCACACTGCTGGCTCATGTTCAGCCGGCTGTTGACCAGCACCCCAAGATCCTTTTCTGCCAGGCAGCTTTCCAGCCACTCTTCCCCAAGCCTGTAGTGTTGCATGGGGTTGTTGTGACCCAAGTGCAGGATCCAGCCAAAACTGAGCTCTGGGTAACACCACTCGTGACCAGCTGCCAGCAGGATTTAAGTCCATTCACCACCACTAAGTCAATAACAACTAAATGTTTTAGTTGAACAGTGCTTAAAAAACTGGGGGAACTGGACAACAAGACATGGCATTTCTTTGATCTTGGCCAAAAAAAAACAACCCAGATATAGTGATGGAGTTGTACGAAATGACTCATTAATCTCACTGCGAGTCATAATAAGCAATAGTCAAAAAGACTACTCCATACAGCCTCTAGGCATATATCTCCAAGATGAAGCAGACAATCCTGTCAGGCACAGAATTTATCTCTTTTCCTTGCAGAAAGATAAATGACTCTTGCAGGTCCTTTTTGAGACACCTGGGCAGCAAGCAGAGAAGAGAAATCCGCTAGTCCCTGTATTTCTACAGTGTTTTATCTACCCATTGTGACTTTATAATATTACAGGAACAGTCTCAGCTTCAGATGCTTTTCAAACGAGTTTCTCAAATCCTTCTTGACTACAATTTATATTTTTTTACCGTCTGCTAGAAGACAGGAGCAACCAGAAATGCCTGGAAACACCAGCCAAAGACTGATGCTGCCTGTCCGCAGGTGCACTGGTTATGTTATGTTTTTTAACTCCCACCACAGTAATACAGGTAGACAGACCAGCAATTACCCTTACCCTTTACATGCCACGCACACCTTTTTCTTCCCACATGAAAAAGAAAGGGAATGGCAAGAGAATACAGCAAAATAATAAAACACAAATGAACAGGATGAGAGTAGGCGACCTCACCAAAGAGTTCCCAGCTCACAGGATTTTATTGTAGATTTTTTGCTACAAGTTCTCTTGAAGTCCTAGCCACCACAGACAGGTGATTATGTGAAAAAAACAGTTTCTATTTAATTTTAAACACATTGACTTCAGGGGAAAAATTACCCCAAACCAGCAAACTTCACCATGGATCAACATCAAAGACAGTTCAACATCTCCTAATGATTTTTACTGATCTTATTTTGCGCCTTGCCTTCTCATGTTGAACAGTTCAGCGTGACAAGTCTGCAATGTCCCACCATGGAAAGAATTATTCTGACTTGTAGTTATTAGAGATTGTCGCTAAAAATTCAAAGACGTTGTAGTGAGCGGACAAAGCAGCAGCTTCCCCAGCCTCTCTTCCACAGCAACCTGTGTGACAGCAGCCACTTGCAGCCTGCTTTTATTGCTTTTTTTCTCTTGTCAGTGGTGACAGCAGGATGCATGATTGCAGTTAACATGCATGCTCTGTCAGTAGCTTTTCTGATGTCCTCAACAAAGGCAAAATTTAATTAACATGTCTTCCCTTCTCCCTGGAATAGTGGCTACAGAAATGGCTTTGGCATTAACCCATGACAGGCCGAGTGCAGCTCTTACTTTAGAACAACTATGACAATTTATGTTTTCAATTAAGAATATTTTCTGTTCACAAATTGAATGGTTTTAGCATCTCCTTCCCCACCTCCACAGGCTGCCAGGACAGATCCCTTTAG